TCGCAGCGGAAGGCGGAAACACCCATCGCTCTCGTCCAATCAGCGTCCACCAAATCAGAACGCGCTCCGGAGAGAGACACTCCAGATGATATTATGTCACCTTAAATGTTTACTAAATTATCTAGAACATTAATCAATAATAATGTTATTAAGTAATGTTCTAGATAATTTAGTAAAGATAGATAGATAGACAGACAGATTTATAGCTAGAAGGAAGATTTAATTTGGTTTAAAAATATTCTGCCTTGGCGAATACCTGATCAGACAAAAACAAATGAATTTGTTGGATAAAAATTATATTTCATTTGTGCATACAGAAAATGTGATATTAGGTGTCATTCTGTGATGTTGGAGTTTTGTAAAGATCTGAACACACACACACACACTCACACACTCTGTCTCTCTCTCTCACACACACATACACACACACTCTCTCTCACTCTCTCTCTCTCACACACACACACACACACACACACACACACACACACACACACACACACACACACACACTCTTTCTCACACACTCTCTCACATACACAAAGTCACATACACACACACACACACACACACACGCACTCTCTCTCTCACACACACACACACACTCACTCACACATTCTCTCACACACACTCTTACTCTCTTTCACACACACACACACACACTGAGCTTGTTAACTGCAAGGTTCTTTTCCATATTACAGTATTTTTAAGGCTTATTTCTTTGATTTCTTTTCAACATTGGTGGTTGGACTTTTCATTTCCTTTTGGCAGAATTGCTAATTTCCTTCTAAAACCAGTTCTAATCACAGTAATATGATGTTCAAGTCTCTTAGAGCGCTGAGGAAATGAAGCATCTGAATCTGAACAACAGCACAAGCTCGATAACATCAGTAATAAAGCACACAGTTCAACACATAGATCACAAAACCATTACATCTGCTCTGATCAGTGTGAGCAACCCGATACTGGAACACACTAATCCTGAAACACCGTTCACACTCGCAGGCATGTCTGCTTTAGAGAATTAGGAGATAGTGGAATAGAACAGTTATTTTGCATGTCTTGTTAAAGGTGACATATCATGCCCCTTTTCACAAGATGTAATATTAATCTATGGCGTCCCCAGAATGTGTGTGTGAAATTTCAGCTCAAAATACCCCCAGGTCATTTATTATAACTTGTCAAATTTGCTCCTTTTTGGGTGTGAGCAAAAACGCACCATTTTTGTGTGTGGCCCTTTAAATGCAAATGAGCTTTACCTCCGCCCCCGTTCAGAAGAGGGCGGAGCCTCTACACGAGCTTCAGAGACTCCGGCGATAACAACACAGCCCAATCTCACTGATCCAGAATCGGGAGTAACCAGCAGCGAGTGCAGCCTTACGGAGAGACTCAGGGAGAGCTTCACTTTTACACGTTTCTGAACGGTTAGTGGAGACATTTCTGTAGTTGTTGTGGAGTTACACTGATCATCTCCTCATCATGTTGAACTCTTCCACAAGTGTCCACAGTTCCTGAGGTGTTTATAAGACAGCGGTGACATGTTCTGGTCAATAGTGTTCAGTGTCGTCTGTGCTCAACCACAGAACAGTTTCAGGCTTTGCTCGAACTTTTGCCATTGTGTTAGAACTGGTCTCTGTTGTCGCTTGCGAAACTAAATGTCGGTGCCGTGTGTGTGTAAACGTGCAGATTAAGGCGTGGTAACATTATAATAAGATCCTCTTTATGTGTCCCCTTTCATTTTAAATATATCAACTTTTTATATGCTATACTTTGTGTGTGCATTGTGTGTTCAGTGTGCTATTCCAACGCTATCTCACGACCAATTCCTACGAATTCGTACAAGTGATTGAACGGTGGCTAATTCGTACGGATTCGTACGAAATCCCTCATGAATTCTACGATTTGTCTGAACCCACGTGATGGTTAGGTTTAGGGGCGGGGTCAGGTGTTGTTCATTGGTACAAATTCATACAAATTTTGTACGAAATATGTACGAATTGTCATCAAAGTGGCCGGAAGTCATTCATTTTCAATGTGAGCCGGCAGCGCGGCGCGGAGAAGTTGAAGTCAGGTCAACTTTATGGTAATGAGCGATGACGCGGTTCGGCGGCAACCAATGGGAATGTAGAAGTGCTCCGTTCGAGAGGAGTCCAGGGAACGCAGTGTAAACTTTGGCTCCGACCACATTAGTTCCCAAGCAAAAAAGATGAGAGGATGATCATGTGAATTTGATAAGAAGGTGCGCAACATTATTTATAGGCAAGATTGTCGCGCTAGAACGCTTGTTTTTCAACAATGCAAGTTAGATTAGCACTTAATGAACACAAAAGCCACACCACATAAATGGCTTGTAATTGGTTTATTTAGTTAGCAAACATGTCATTATAATTGTTAAGTTCTTTCCATCGATCAATTTCTTACATTCACATTTAAAAGATTCCATGAGGTTAGCTTATACCCTATGGTCAGTCTGCATCAATAACGCTAGACATGCTTGTTTTCTTTGCGGCCCCTTTAAATAAAGTTTTAAAAAAGACTAAGCATTCGATCTACGTCAGAGCGTCCACAAATCTTTCCACGGCGTCGTTGGCAGGGCGGCGGTTTAAAGTGTTAGTTCCCCCCAAAAAGAAAATTCGGTAACACTTTACAATAAGGTTTCATTAGTTAACGTTAGTTAATGTATTAAAGGTCCAGTGTGTGATTTTTGGCGACATCTAGCGGTTCGGTTGCGAGTTTACACTAAGGGGCCCACCGCTCACCCCTCCCTTCCGAAGAAGCTACGGTGGCTAAAACGGGACAAACATCGTCGACTGAGACAGCAGAGAATAGCCAGCGTAAACCAAGTTTCTGTACCACAGTGCATTATAAACCACATCATGGATAAAGTTTCAGGTGAGGATCAAGGGTCTTAATACATAATATAATAATAGTAATCAGCTGATTGTCTCACGAACGTAACCAGCACATTTATCCCCACATAGCAAACCCATAATACAGCGAGGGAGAAGAACCACATGAAAATATGCAACTATATATTTTTTCTAACAGGGTAGTAAAAGTTTAGCTGGCTAATATGAGCTGTTACTGTGGCTGAGCCTTGTTTAAACTCGACGCGTCCGCATGAGCCCAAAGGTGCGCGCGGCAAAAATGACGTGATTGTAACAGCGCGCGCGCCTCCGCATCCCCTAGACACACTTACCACACACACAATAGGCTTTTTTTCTCTGATTTTGGAAACTCGATCGACTTAAAATGCTTCCAAGATCGACGGGTTGGTGATTCCTGTAACTGTTTTATGGTCAATGACAAGAGTAGCCTACTAATCAGCTGTCTCACGAACGTAACCAGCACATTTATCCCCACATAGCAAAGCCATAACACAGCGAGGGAGAAGAATTAAGTTACATGAAACAATCCAACTACATATTTACACCACTGACAAGGGAAAAGTCACTACTCACGGTGTTTATGACTAGCTTCTTCTAGCTTCCTGTGGCTTCTCTTTCAAGGTAGTGACGAAACGCGCTCTGTAGCGTTGTGTGTTCGCGTTCGGCTACGGTAGAAACATGACGTCACAATATGGCGACCTTCACAGAAGGGGATTCCCGCGCCTATGTAGATATAAATGCCTCATTCTAAGGTAATAAAAACATTACGGTTTATTAAGTAAGTTCTTTATACACCACTGAACACATAGTTATGGATGTCATATTGCATTTCTGTTAATAAATACTCAAAAATGTTACACACTGCACCTTTAACTCACAATGAGCTGTACATTTGTTACTGTATTTATTAATCTTTGTTAAATGTTAGTTAATACAAATTCAGCTGTTCATTGTTTGTTCACGTTAGTTCACAGTGCATTAACTATGTTATCAAATACAACTTTTGATTTTAATAACGTATTAGTAAATGTTGAAATTAACATTAACAAAGATTAATAAATGCTGTAGAAGTAGTGCATTCTTAGTTCATGTTAACTAGTGTATTAACTAATGTTAACTAATGAAACCTTATTGTAAAGTGTTACCGAAAATTCTGTCAGTAATTACTCTCCCTCATGTTGTTCAACCCCGTAAGACTTTCGTTCATCTTCGGGACACAAATTAAGATATTTTTGATTAAATCTGAGAGCTGGATCACTCCTCCATAGGCTTCTAAGGGATCGAAACTGGCCGGCCCAGAAAAGTTGTTAAAGACATCGTTAAAATAGTCCGAGTGACGACAGTGGCTCAACCTTAAGTTTATCAAGCGACGAGAATACTTTCTGTGCGCAAAAAAACAAAACAAAAATAACGACTTTATTCAACACGCATCACACACATGACCAGCGTCGGCCAATAGTGAGCCTGCGTGTGACGTACAACCCAGAAGCGCTGCGCTGTTACACTACGGGAACTCACTCGAGGCCCACAGAGAAGAACATGAAGTTCTTGAAAGAATCTTTTGTGTTTTTAGTGTGAAAACGGAACCTTTTGTGGAATGGAAAGATTCCATGGATGTTAAAGGTTCTTTAGAACCATCAATGCCAATAAAGAACATTCATTGTTTAAGACACTCTTTACAAATCATGTTTTGTATCAAGTTTATGCCAGTTTTATGATTACAGTTGATGGGTCACACACATTTGAGACTCAAATATAACAAAATATAAGAAAGATGAACTCGAGACGAGAGCCTGGATGCACTTTTTCCAGCTGCACATTAGAACATTTCTTGTTGGGTTTATTCTCTAAATAGATTTTGTAAAAATAGATTTAAACTTCATTTCTTTTAAGCAAAGAAAACAGGAAACCGCAGAGCGTGAATCTTTAGAGTCCAAAACTCTTTTTTTGTGATTGCCGCGATGCCAGAACATGTTCCTGGAGTTCGCCCAACTTCCTGTGTTCCTGCAGTGACTTCCTGTCCGTATCTCTGGGTTTATGAAGTGAGGGTCACTATCGCTGAGGTTCAGGTGATGGACTGGTTTCCTTGGACGGTTTAGAGGTCGTTTCCGGACT